ATTTCAAAAAGGTGAGTTATTTCCCCTGAAGGGAACTCCTTTACTGTGTCTAATACGCATGCGCTATAAAGAAAGTGTATGTTCATGGTGTAATGCCTCTGTCATACGACAAACTGTAATTGTGTTTGTGAATAAAAAGAAATCTAACTATTTCGTAATTTTTTGAATTGCTCAGTCAAAGAATCTATCTAGTGGATTTGTATTAATCTGTATACTAGTATAATAAGGCGTTGTGCAATGAATATATGAATTATTACACCTGAAGTTCCCCCCCCCCACCCAATTTCTTTTACAGTATATAAGAAAAATCGAACCAGATTACTGATAAAATGCTGATACATATTCGAATAGGCCTATTTTTTGGGGTGGGCGGGTTGTTTTAAATAAAAGCTAAATTTCATTTTCGGTAGTGGATGTTCTGCAGACGGATAGTCATTGTTTACAAAATGTGCAGAACAAATATAATAATTTTTGTTTTACGAATGCATTAATCTAGCCCTCTGCAGCAATATTTTCTTCTCCGCATCTCTAGGAATGTTTTGGAAACTGATGACATGCATCGTCTCAAGCCACGGTCCGGACTCCGCATATGGGAGAGGATCGTATATTTTGGCCGTGGTTTGCGACGATGGATGACATGTCCATCTACAGTTTTACCTCTGAAACTGCTGCATATACAGCAGTATAGTTCATCTTGCGCGACCGATATCAAGAAACTGCGTTTTTGCTCGATTGTATGTCATAACATAGTTTACTTACAAGAACATTTTTGGTGACAATTAAAGGCCTATTTCATATGAATTAATGGTGTTTCTAGAAATTTATATTTGTAAAATAATTTATTCAATTTTTCGTATTAAAACTTTGAATGGAATTCCAAATGAGTAATTTAATCTCAGACCAATTGAAATAGCATCGACCTGAATTCGTGTTAAATATGTCGAATAAAATCTGAGCTGTATTAAATCAAAGTTTTAGTGCAGGATCTAAGTGAAAGTATATTCCTGAGTATAATTCACTTAAAATTTTGTTTTAGATCAGAGAATTGACAGCAGAAACACGAAATTGATATAATAATATCTGAGCGTATTTCTCGTCCATACGGAAAGCATTCTTTTCGTAAAGTGTTATGTTTTTAAATTATATTGAATTCACAATTAATAATTCTAATGATTTTTAATTTCCACAACTTTGGTTTATATTCATCTGTTCAACCCATTTACACGTTCGTTCTCTGAGCATGCAGTACGCACGAAACCCTCATCAAATTAGCATGAAAGTCGATTTGAAACATTCTTATGGTCAGGTGTAAGTTCAAGTGTGTAACACACTCAACTGACATGCGCGGATCTATGGGGGGGGGGGGGGGGGGGGTCGCGTATTAGGACTTACATGGAATTTACCAGGTTAAAAAAAATGTATATACTAAAACAAGAAAAAAGTTACAATTTGCATCCCCCTTGGAAAACGCATGGACCTCTGGTAATATATTTGAAATGGGTATGTAAGGTGAAAGTTTTGAGGCAACAAAAAAAGTCACCACTATATCCCCCCCCCTTTTCCCCACGAAATAGGTTCAAGAAACCCAGTTAACTGTTTAAAGGTTTTATTTTTTTGTTTGTCAAGAAACGAATGAGGACCCCCCCCCCCCCCCCCTTTGGAAAAAAATTATATCCGCGCCTGACTGACATCCAGCGAAATTCATCTTCCCGGTTTCACCCGACGCGTATTATTAACTTACATGTATTTTGTAAATTATCCTTTTTTAGACATAAATAAGACGAATCCCGTAGATGATAAGATTTTAAGAAAAAAATACAATTTTCAGACGAGGAAACACATATGGACCTCTTATAAGTACGATACAACTGCATCTGATCATTATTACGTCGGAATCTAAATGATTCCTTATTATAACTTCAAGAAACCCACAAACTTTTAAAGGAAATGATTGTACAATGAAGAAAATCAGTAACATGTACATGTACTTTTTATAAAGATATGACGTTTCTTTCGTTTTCAAGTACCTATAAGTATTAGTAAGAGTAGATTTGTGAATAATATGCATAGTTGAGCTTGATAAAATCATCAAATGCATCACTGCTCAACATTATTATCTTTCTATAACAATACTTTATATCGCGATTACTCAACTTAGCGGAACTCTTTCGCGATGGAGGTAGGAAACGTCTGTTGGATGGGGTCAAATGTGCTATTGAATACAATGCAAGATCGGTTATTGTAGAGTTTATAAATAAGGATAGATAAGTAAAAAAATCCTTTTGGAATACCTTGCTTAAAAGTCGCTGAACAAGCTTAATTAATTTTTGAGACCAGCTAATCCCAAAATGTGACATTTTTAACGATATTTTTAACTCAGCGGGCTTTTCTCATTAAATTTTTATTGATAATCGTCACATTTTAAAGCCATTCAATATTCTAAACTTTCCTTAGTTGACAATCTACTATTTGGAGTCCAATTCTTGGCAATACATTGCACCTTCGGCATTAAAATGAGTCCCCAAAATCTAGAGCTTTCTCGACTCTCCCGCAAAAGAGCGGCTGTAAGTTAAGACAACTGCGAGGTACTCGCGATATTACGTATTCGTAAATTTTAACAATAAATATCGTTCATTTATTTATGCACGCTTGTATAGAGAAACAAACTGTCCCACCTCCATGCTGAAATGGATACTTTTCGCGCTTCTATCGTAGGAGAAGTGCAATCACGAAACTCGCGTATTGTATCCTTAACCTGCCACAAAACTTCGATGAAACTGCAACAGCGGGTAAGAATAGAGAGGGGAAAAAACCACATTGACCACATGTATGATATAATATTTAATTAAATCATAGTTTTATCACCAGTGTGCATTAATTCGTATGATTTATTGTAACATTCTTGATTTTCTACAACGCATCCTTTGATCGATTATCAGAGCAATCATGGTTACTTTGCGCAGAAAAATAAAGCTCATTTAAATCAAAATTCAAATTGTCTCAAGAAAAACATGTAATTTTTTTTGTCTGAACGAAAGCTAATTTGTCCTAAAACTATTTAAATTTGTCCTATCAAAATGTCTTATTTCTTCAAAGACATAACTTCCATATAACTACATGTATTTCCGAGAACTTATTCGTCATAAAGAAAAATATCCGAAAAAAAAGCGCTGGTGCATTGTACTTCTGGAAATCTGAATATAGCATTTCCGACAATTTTTCTTTTCATTTCTGGTATATATATTTATTTCACTTTTCATTTCCGAAATTTTTGCAAGGTACCTTTTAGCAACTTAATGTTAATCAAGTAGGAGGAAATCAAATTTTAAAATTAATTTATTTCTGTATTTCAAAATAATTTTTTCAAAAAATTAACAGATTAAAAACAAATAAAAAATCTGTTGTAAATATAGATCTGTCATGAAGCACCAAGTCTAAATGAGCATGCATTTGTAAGAATAACATTCAGTGTTCATAAAATTGTCAACGACTGCACCGAACTTATGTCCAAGACATATGAATATACTATATTTTATTCTTTAACAATTTTCATCAGTGAATTATTCAATCCTACTTTCATTACCGAAAAGCAATACCTTAAAGATGTCGAAGACTTTAAAATGAAATTGTCGGAAATGAAAATGTTTTCCGGAAATGAAATGGGACAGGTTATGTATAAATTGTCTCAACTTCTTTTTTATAGGAAATGAAAAGTTGAAAGTTTAAAAAAGAACCTAAATAGAAGACTAATTTAATTTAAACAATATTTTATTTATTGGTGTTATTGTGAATTGGATTGGGCAGCAGGCGCAGCCTATTTTAGCCCTCCCCCTGAAAAACAGAAGATTGAGTTTTACATTTTTCTATCACGTAGTTTACAATAAATAAGAGTTATATATATTTTTTTTATATTTTGCAAAAAATACTTTTAAATTCCATTTTCACTTAGGTTTATGTATATCTAATTAGTCTCAACTTCTTTTTTATATCCATAATTTTGATATAGAAAACATTTAAAGATAATACTAATCATAGAACTAGAGGCGCAATGGTCATATGGACATAGACAAGATCACTGGTTTGATGTGTAAAATTGTTGTCACATATCTTTATAATAAAATATGAAATTAACCAAGGTAAGAGTGCCCTGGAGATAAAAATTGATCATTTGATGTGGCATTTTGATCAAAACTCATTACGACAAGGTCAAATCACGCGGATCAGAGAAGCATCGAAAAGCACAAAACTTTTCTTTATTTTGGAAGAGCAAGGTAACAAAAAACTATAGTCACGTAAATAAAATATTTTGATATTGTATTTGGACTTAGAATATATTTTTCGTATTTAATTTTAATACGACTAGACAACATTCGATCATTCTGTTTTTACATTTCACAAGACTAATGCCAGTGGCTTGGAGGGATAACTTTTGACAAGATATTTAAAATTATGTTTTTTTAAGGTAATTTTAATCTTAAATTTCTACTGATTTGTTAATAAGCAGCATTTCTCTTCCTTCTCCTATCAATCGGCAATCAAAAGATATTTTTTATTTTCAGTAGTATGCTTTTACGTTAGTAACTGCTGATTTGTTAAATTGCACTTTATTGTACATGAAATTTGTGGAGAGACAATACGCACCAAAAGTGATTTTCTGTACTTTTATCGCAGGGACGTAGCATCGTTTTTTTGAAAGTGTGTGTGTGGGGGGGGGGGGTAGCTAGAAATTTTTTAATATCAAAATTCAAAAGAAAATCCTATTCCTGCGAGGGTGTGTGTGTGTGAGGGACGGTGTCTGTGATGGGGGATTTACTACGCTGAGTCTGATATTCATGATATTACGAAATACATATATGCAGGAATCGAGTTACAGCCTTAGATCACATATCAAAATAATTACCGGTAGTACTTCCTGGTGGTGTTAGGAATACACGTGTGTATTCTTACAGTGAACCACCAATAATAAACAGACATGAGAAATGAGCTGAAAAAAAAAGAGAAAATGGAACAAAAATCGAACTTTTATTCACCGTCCTTTGGGTTGCAGCAAAAGTGATACATATGAACGGTTTGTTTTGTGATACAGAGTATGCGGGATATTGAGGACGTATATTACAAACCTTGGACTTCTCAGTACATTTACAAAGGAGTCAATCAATCCATGATATTACGCAGCATTAGTTACTGAAAAGGAGTTTGGAACACCCTTGTGACGAATTTAAATATTTTTCTCAACATTGAAGCAACAATAGTCTTGGATAACTTGGTAAGTCTGAAGTTGTATTTCATTCCTAAAAATAGATAATGGATTTATTAAAAAACAAATAAAATAACGATTGAAGAATAAAGATTTAAAATTGTTACAAATTAGTTCCAGTCTTACTACAAGAACAGGTACTTATTTTTACGGTAGCTAGATCATGTAGATATACACTGAGTATATAATACACATGTACGTATGTTTACACGTAAAACACTTTTTTCAGGTGCTCTGCATGACTTATTTTAAGCTGTATACAATCTGGGTGCAACATGTATCTTAACCTCTTATTTTTCCTGCAAAGTTTTAGGGAAAGAAAACTGGCCTGAGTTTGTTTTTTGTCTGGAAATGTGGATCTTTTCCTTAGGAAAAAATTCCACTACAGTCTAGAAGTTTTGGTAGAAAAGCTTTCCGTTTTGGATTTCTTGCAATCAGGTAAGACTTTTTGGTTTCTATAGTTAACCGAAACTAGGACAGACAGAATAATAAATATTAGGACGTAGCACCTAAATATACATTAAATGCACACCTACTTGCAGTTGGTACAGGTTTTAAAAAAGGACGGTGTAAATAGAAGTCTGTCTTAAATCTTTCTCCGTAAACACAGTTTCTTTACATGTCTACCATTTTCAACATTCAGATACATTGTAAGTTGAAAGCCCTTTCATGTTAATGTCTTCTTCATATAAAGATCTAATTTCTACATGTATTTGTGACGGATGTTACAAGACATTACATGTATTATACACATTTTCGTTTACTAGAAGACTACAATTTGCATTTTAAGTATTGTCAAGTTTCAATTAAATTAATCGAACTTGTGCATCTTTGGTTCATGCAATTATCGATACTCCTCAGACCAATTTAAGGTTCAAGTCATACTTCCACACTTGATTTCAATTAATTTTTTTGTGTTAAAATAAATATGAATACCAAATTTTTAAAACTGCAACACAATTAAAACAAGCACATTAAAAAAAAAAACGAGGAAGCCTTTTACAAAAGCTACGTATACGTTACAGTTTATCAAAGAGTGACATAATTTCAATGCTAAAATTTGAAGTTAGCTATAAACTTTATGTTCAAGGAAAAATTTGTTTTTCATTCCCGTTCAATTTGTGAGAATATTAACACTAAATTAGCTAACCCAGATGATTTCCAAAATAGTTTCAAAGCTAAGAAAGGCCTTTGTATGATCAATTGCAGACTATTTGTCATGGTTAAATTGCCATTATTGATTAGCGAACAGCTGCCCTCGATCGTTCTATGACCAGCACGCATAAAATATAATCTGCATCCTTGAGTATTACAAGATACTCGCAGTGGGTGGTGGCGGAGAAAAGTTTGATTTGTTGTTAATGTCTATTTAATATGCCATGTTGTTTTATAACAAGACTTTAATTACCCGTTACTAACTATACGTTTTCAAAATATTACTAAAACACTTCTGTACTGAGAGAGAGAGAGAGAGAAAATTAAAAATAAATATACCTTATAACTTTTTCTCTAAAAATAATTTATTATTTTATGTAGGATAGGGTTATATATTACTACATGTAGCAATGTGTGCCTTCATTTTATCTATATAAATATTTTATCTGGTTAAAATAAACGATTCAAAGCTCCACTATACAAGCTTTTAGTGAGACAAAAAATAGATAATACTTTAAAAAAAAAAATACAAAATTAATAAATAAATAAAAACAGGAACATTTTTTTTCATCTACAACAATAAGCAGAAAAGTTTACTTAACCCGTTACTGATATAAAATTTTTTAATACCATTAACTTCTGTTTCCTTAAACTTTCAGAAAAAAACTAAAGCATCTAATAAGTGGAGTAAAATTTATGTTCTTACTGATGAATTTTTTGTTTTAAATGTCAGTGGGAATGAGAGTTATGGCTCAGAGGGGTTTTCACTTAAAGGGAAAAAGTACATTCTTTGCACCGAGAAATGGCGTTTTTACCCACATTGGAAATTTAACCCTCTGGTCCATAATGCTATATGTTTTGCAGGGTCAATTTAAAATTCTGGATCCCCTCATCTTTTAAGGCTGAAACATTAATTACTGTGTCTATCTACATATTCGGTAAAAGATATTGATAAGACTTTATATTTCTTCTAGGATAATATATTTCTAAACATATTTTGGTTTAAGGACAGATGATACAAACAAAAAATGGATGTCTGGATTTGTATATATTTTTTGGTCTAATTTCATTGCAAATGATGCAAATAATAAATTTCTAGAAAATATAGAAATTTTAAACCTTCTCTAATGTTCAAAAGTATGCCCTTCTGAAACCATTCTTATTAATCTAATCAATTATTTTCACTTTTAATTCCATTTTTGTGCAAATGTGAATAAAAAGTTAAAAACTACGCGGTGAAAGTTATTCAATTTACACATTTAAACATGACCCAACTAACTATTTTCAAAATCTTTAACAAAAGTTTGTATCATCTGTCCTTAAAGTAGGACTCCAAGCAATTTGCCCATTCTTTGAACTTTTCTTTTTAATCAGTTCGGTCGATTTTACTTGAGAAAATTACCTTCTTAAAGTATTTTTTATTCAACACAAATAATCGCTTAATATGTTGATGATGTTAGGAATAAACAAGGCTTTATTTACATTGTAAACGAAGTTGGGGAACATATTGTTTTTACTCTGTTTCTTATTATTATTATTATTATTATTATTATTATTATTCCTGGGAAAATTTTGAATCTTGAGTGATCTTGTAAACTACACATCCGACTAAGGTAAAATGTTTTGAGGGTCAATAGACATGTTATGTAGATTTGCCGAACAAAGGTCATTTTGCGCGCACGTGCTTGCAAGAGCGCGCACGTGCAACATGTAAAATGACCGATTTAATTGATATAGGCGTAACTTTTTTAATTTTTGATGAAATGCTTTGAAATTCATAATGTAAGGATGTATTAGAAGCATAGACAATATGACATGGTCAAAATAGCAAGATCTCACGCGCATGCACTTGCGCTTTGCTCTGATTGGCTGAAACTAAAGTCTCAATATCTTTCTTGTTTTTTGAGGAAATCCTTTGAAATTTTGAACATAGCCATGCGTTATGATATCCTACAACATGATATATAGAAATTATCATGAAAACATGTGCATGTACGTGTGCTGCAATCTGGCTTAAACTTTAAAAAGCTATAACTCCCTTGTTTTTCAACCAAACAGGATGGGATTTGGAACATAGATATATAAAATGGACTTCTACAAAAGGTATGGTCACCATGCACATGCATACACGTGCGTGTACGTGAGCTGCAATCTGATTGGCTAAAACTTTAAACAGTAATAACTTCCTTGGTTTTCAACCAAACAGGATGGGATTTGGAACATAGATATATAATGGACATCTTCAAGAAGGTATGGTCACCATGCACATGCATACATGTGCGTGTACGTGCGCTGCAATCTGATTGGCTGAAACTTTAAACAGTTTTAACTCCCTTGGTTTTCAACCAAACAGGATGGGATTTAGAACATAGATATATATAATGAACTTATGCAAGAAGGTATGATCACCATGCTAACGTGCGTGCACGTGAAATGGGTAAAATCAAAAATACACTTGAATGAGCGAATTTTTTTAATACTTTTGGATTAAATACTTTAATATTAAGTATATTAAAAAATATAGATTGTGTAGACAAGATGATATGGTCATTACGTAGATGCATTCACATGCAATGCTAAAATTTGAATGAGCATGGTAAATTTCTGGGTAAACATTGTGAAAATCTCAAATGCATAGAGTTTGTGTTATTAAATGAAGCTTACAGGGAATATGGCAACAAAAGGGAGTTGGGGAGCGTTTGGGGAACATCTGTAACGGTCCCCGTTACAATTAGCACTAGTTTACATTGTAAGTAGAATTAAACTTAATGTACATGAATCTCTATATCATGTGTCCATCAAAGAAAATTCTTACCAGTTTATTATCTTTGTAGATTATCTGCTGAAAAAACCAATTAGACTTTAAAAAATATATTTTCATACAACGTTATGTTTGTGAAATTTATTCATCGTGTAAGTACATGTAAACTATTTCATTAAAATCAGGTTTTGAACGTAGCTATGTTAATAATTTGATATGCGTTTTAAAATAAAGAATTAATATGACTTTGCACATTCGTAGTTATTAAAGGAGCATCCTCAAAACCCTTTTTAATCATGACCGATATTTTTAAATCATATGCAGATTTATAATTTCTGAAAAAAAAGCATGCACGGAAGAGATTGACCTAGTATCTTTTTGAATTAATAGGCGTGCTCAGAACATTACGTATTATATACATGTATGTAAAACTTATTCATGCTGAATTTTACATAAAATATAACTCATTTTAGGGACATGAGAGTGCATCAGTGATTTCTCTATATTGGATACGCACGAAGTTTCTAGATGCAGCGTTTTCTGTGATTGGAAAAATATATGACAAGAAAGATGCTCCACTACATACCAAAGTTTTGAATGCTGAAGTAACTGTGCAAGGATACCATAGGATCTGTCCCTGCGTGTTTAGTCTAATATACCACTATTCAAATCATCCACACGTTCAAAATGAAGGCAAGGGCAATACCTGTGCCCTCGAAACCATCTCATCAAACCTTATTCACATCAATTTCAACGTAGCTATTTATGTAAAAACTATATGTATATAGAACTGTATTTAGCCTTCCGGTGCCTTTGGATATTGGTCTTGTCTCACAAGAGCTGCGTATATCTTTTTAGAACAAAATACATGGGGTATTTTATTTTTCTCACAAAAAACTGTAAGGAACCTACTAAAGGAATGTAGCCTTAGCCTCCAAGAAGAAAAGTTTTACTCTGGAGCTGAGCTAGTATTCTTTTCTTAGTAGAACTGAATAAAGCCCTCTAGAGAAATATTACTCCACAATTTTTCAAATGATAATTGTACTAAGCCGTCTAGAGGAATATAACAGCATAGTTCACATTTTGTATTACAAGAACTCTACGTAGAATTCAAAGGAATATTACTCATTTGTTCATATTTCGTCTAATTAGGAATGTACAAAGTCTCCTAGTGGTGTCGTATTAGAAATGTATGTAAATTTCGAGAGGAACACACCTTCCTAGTTCTGATTTTGTCTGATAAGAAATGAACATAGCTTCCTAGAGGAATATAACTCCGTTGTTCAGATTTTGCCCTATCAGAAATGTATATAGCATCATGGAGGAATATTCCCCCGTAGTTCAGATTTTGTCCTAATGGCTATTAGAAATGCACATAGACCTCTAGAGGAATATTCCTCCGTAGTTCATATTTTGTCTTAATAGAGATTAACATAGCCTCCTAGAGGAATATTACTCTGTAATTCAGATATTGTCTTTTTAGAGAATGAAGTACATGTACATATAGTCTCATAAAGGAATAATACTCCGTAGTTCAGATTTTCTTATTTAGAACTGTACAAACTCCTAAGATAGTTCAATTTTTCCTTCATAGAACTGTGCATACATAACCTTCTGGAGGAATATTACTATGTAGAAAAGACTTTGTTTACCTCCACTTATGCTGAGTTTTCACCTCGCATTCTAGATGTCTTTTTACAACTACACAAATTCTATCAGATAAATTATTTACTCTGTAGTTAATTTTTGTTTTGTAGAGGATGTAAATAAGATTTTGTTTTATTTGTGTCATAATAACCTTTTTGAGGAACCCCGTATATATTTTGTTTTATTAGAATTGCAGTCTTTAAGAGAAATATTACTTTTTGGATGAAATTTTGTCTTTTTAGAACTCCTCAGTCTTTCAATTGAATATTATTACGTAGTTTATTTTTTTGTTTAATCAGAATTGCAATCCTCCAGAAAAATATTACTAGTATTTCAAAGATATGTTTTTACCTCTTAGAGTTGTAAGTATCTAGAGGATTATTACTCCGTCGATAAACTTTCGTCGTAGTACATGTATAACATTACATAGAGGAATATTACTCTGTGGCTCAGAATAAGACTTAATAGAAATGTGTAATATAAGCCTTCTGGGGGAATATTACTCCATAGATAAGTGTTCGTCGTTGCAGATCTGTAAATAGAAAACTTTTACTCCGTAGTTCATATTTTGTCTTCATAGACTTTACTCCGTAGTTAGACTTTGGCTCAATAGAGCTGTGCATACATAGATATAGCCTTCTGGAGGAATATTACTCCGTAGTTAAGTTTTCGTCGACATAGAGAAATACTACTCCGTAATACAGATATTGCTTCAATAGAACTTTGCATACATATTTGTACTTAGCGTTCTGGAGGAATATTACTCTGTAGATAAGTTTCGTCGTAGTAGAGCTGCACTTAGGGGAATATTACTACATAGTTCAGATTTTCTCTTATAATCATCGTACAAAATCTTCTAGAGGAATATTACCCTATATACGAGATTTTGTCTTACTTAAGCATTACAACATTTTTGTTTTAGTTTAGAGTTGTAAATAACCTTAGAGGAATATTACTCTGTAGTAAATTTTCAGACTTCAGAAGCTTTGCATTGGTCTTACGGAGGAATATTACTCCGGAGGTAATGGGTGAAGTTTTTGTCACACTCGAATTGTACATGTGCGTATATTTATAGAGGAATGTTACTCTATACTTCAGTGTTTTGTTGAAAGACTGTTCTAAATGTGAATAAATTTTTTAAGAAGATATCTCTGATTTGTTTCTTCTTATTCGTATTACAGAGGTTGTATTAAATCATATTAATCTCTGAATTGAAACCCGGAAAAGGTACGGTGAAGCACAGTACCTTTTTATTTTGCTGTCCCTTCTAAGTCAAAGAATACAGTAAATAGACACTGGGTAAAAGCACTTCAGGGGTTTTATTTGCAAATGATCTAAATAAATTCAGTGAGCCATGGCACGGCCCAGCACTTGTTTTCTAGTGGCAGCCCAGATGGAATGCCCAGCCCATTGTCCACATACTGGAATACACAAACAAGGCACTTTCTGTAATTGGTCAATTTTGGGAAGTCCTTGTTGGCCGCATTCCAAGCAGACCTGGTTGGGCCATCTGTGGTGTCACTTTCAGTGCTGTCTTGATACACAGCTGTTGCTGGTACAGACAGTGTGGGATAAGCATTCAGCGCTTCACTAATCTTCTCATTATGAATTGGCAGCTCGATTAGTGAAGAGGTTGCTGTTCCCTTTTCGTCTGTTACCAGCTCTTGGTAGGAGGACTCCTGTAAATTGCTGGATGTCTGAGCATTTACAACTGACTTGTTGCTATGCTCAGGCGAAGAATCACTCCTAGATAGCTGTGTGTCTGGTGTCAAGTCCGGTACGTGGTTGTTGGCAGTTAGTAGTGTATTCAGCATCTGTAGTTGTATGGCAACCAGCAGTTGATTGCTCACTACTCGGTAGCCATAACTCAGATGAACTGCCTTCAGGAACATTCTTGTCTTCTATGTCTGGTGACTTTGAAATTCCAGGAACATGGAGACCATCCTGTGACACCATGGTATTCCACTGAATACTAGCAGGTGATATATCACCACTCTGTATTAGTGGAAAACCTGGTGGACTTTTACAGGTAACTGTTGGCATCTGCTGCTGGTGTACTACTGCAGTAAGTGTTGGCATCTGCTGTTGATGGTTTACTGCTGCATGCAGGACAGGTGCACAGCTGCTGGCATCTCCAGGTCTCAATGGTGCAGATAGTACCTGATCCTGGTTGTTGTCTGGAATTTCATTTGGGGACACAGCAGGACTTTGTACAGCTCCCCCAGCTCCTGTTAGGATCAATGGTGGTGGCATTGGTGGCCCTCCATACATGCATGGTTGTGGGTAAGTCATCTGAGGTACCATGTATCCAGGTGGGATCATTCCGGGATAAGGGCCATATGCATATGGTATGCCAGGGCATGGCTGTGGTGGTCCAAAGAATGATTGTGGGAATGGTCCACCATATCCAGGAAATGGTATTGGATAGCTCCCAGGGACTGGCGTACAAGGATAAGGATACCCACTTTGGCCTTGGTTGAATGATGGCAGGTATGGTCCACCATAGAATCCATGAGGTGCTGTACCAAGTGTCATTGCTGGATTCATCTTGTTGTTTTCAGTAGTTCAAAGTTACGGAAAATGATCACGCCGTTTGACACTACTGAAGCATTCAGTCATCTAATGTGACGTATGTTGAGCTATTTCCACGTTACGGTAAAAGAAAACGCCGGTGAAAATATCACAACACATTAAATAACTGATGTACAACAAGATTTATGTTATGTTCTCACTGTGATCTGAATTAAACGTTACTTTAACACAATATAATAATTGTATTTTAAGCCGGTTTAATTGATCGAGATGGTCCAGATAATTTCACTTTACTGCGTCTATCTTTTCTTTCTATCTTCTATTCTCTCTATCTTTTTATCTAATAACTTTTTCGATGTTGTCTTTATTTCTGGTTGATTGATGAATTAAACGTTACTTTAACACAATAAATTGTATCTTAAGCCGGTTTAATTCAACAGTAAAGTTCTGGCGATTTATAGTTTGACAGTTCTCTTTATTCTCTCCGCTTTTCTTTCTATCTTCTCTTTTAATATCTTTGATACTATTGGTTTACGATGTTTTCTTTATCTTTATTTCTCGTTGATTGAATCTTCGATTGATAAAATATTGGTCTACTACAATTACTTAAACTTTTATTAATCGTAACTAAAGTTAATTAATCTGTAACTTAACTATACCTTGCTTTAATTACCGACAGCCTCTTACAACGTTAGTGTACAAACGCCCGATGACAGACGACGGTAGAAACAAGCATTGATGTTACGAGAGTTTGTAGATAAGCTAAATAATTAATTGTATAATCAATTGATGATGGTATATGAATTGATTATACTTTTGCAATTAGATGAACTGCTATTTCACAGAGCTAAGATGTAAAGCCGTTACACTACAAAATCAGTCTAGTCTACTGTTAGAGCGAGAAGCACGTGCGCTTCGATCTAAATTTAGCTTTTACAGGTAAACCGGTTTGCGTGAACTAGCTCTGTGAAACTACACAACAAAAATATACAATATCAAAAACACAATATATCTCTACTTTCCCCCAAAATATTTTTTAGGGAACTTAGAGAAAAAAGAAATATATGATAACTCTAAATCGTAATATAAGACGAGTCGAGAAGAAAACGGCGCTCCTCGAAAATTGTCAACACGAGTGACAATAACTTTTCAATAGAAAAAAAAATGTTTGTCTCGTGCAAAAATATGAAATAGATAAACAATTTAGAATAAAGTTCAATCGTTGTGGCACAAGTGACCAAAATTCAATGAGTCGAGAAAAAAAAACGTAATTTGCACAAGACAACTAATGAAAATGTTCAAATTTTCGTACTAACGTTTACAAAAACGCCTGTACGAAAATATAATACTAAATACTAATGAAAAATGAAACTACAAAAATAATTGGACCGTGATATCACCACGTGTTCTAATGCGACTCACGAGTGAAAAAAATAACATGGCAAATTAGTCAAATTGTCTGAACTTTACAAATAACGTTAATTATAACGCCTGTAAGCAACAGTTTCCTAAAATTCCAAAATGACTAATTGCAAAAGATTTCACTCACGTGTTTTTACTCACGAGTGGAAACTCACACGTGAATTGTTGCAAGTAAAATACATGTAAATACAATATGCCCCGCTCCGAATTACCGGCGACGCCAATGTAGTAAAATCATAGCATTTTACTATGAATAAATGTTGCCTACCTTACAATCAAAGGTGACGACGAACACCCAGGTTTACATGGTAGGTAAACTCAGGTACATGCAACAATATAACAAGACAAAGCAGGAAAACGTGGTGAAGGGTTTGACTGGTAATTCTCGACTGAGGTAGGAAACGTGCCGGCACGGGTGGATGGCTATGAGGTCAGGGTGAAAGGTCATAGTGGACATATTTACATATACAATTTCACTACAATACGAAAGGTCATAAACCGACCCCCAATTTTTAACAAAGAAAATAATCACAGCAATTAACATGGCAGTAAATAATCAGTGCTCTAACTGTAAAAACATTGCTTTGGAGTCGGTAGACAATTAATTGCCCCGAGGGGTGTTGATAGGTAATTATCATTTGACCAGCGCACATGTGTCACAACATTGGCTTCCTTTCATTGGGACGTATGGAGGGGTGTTAATATTGTTGCAGATTATCACTGAGTTATTTTAAACCTAAAATTAATATTTATTTTATTGTATTTCATTAAAAAATGATTTATTACTTTGTCTAGCAGATAAGGTGCATGTGCACTATCATTCCGGAAGCACGTGACATAGCTATGAGTGAACGTCTAAAAATAACATCGGTAATGGCGGCCTCCTCGGAGACAATCCATAGCAATTTCAGTTGCCTGTAAAGAAATACCTCCATGATATGCTAATATAAAAGTGCCAAAAAAATATAAGATAAAATTCAACAAAGAACGCGGCTTAAATCTGAGAAATATGTTTAATTTATGCTTACCATTAACTGTATTTTCTGAATAAAACTAAAAAAAAAAAATTAAGAAATGTACTTGTACCTATATTTACTTATTGATTTATAGTATATGTAGACTTTATTAGGGCCCCGCAAGGATTTGCGGGTGCCCTATAGTAATCACTCTGTCTGTCCGTCTGTCTCTCTTCCGTCCACAAATTTTCTGTTTTTTTCTAATAACTTTTTTTATGGTTGCCCAATCAAGTTCAAATTTGGTATGGTAGTTCAGTAGGCAGAAATACATATTTTGATGCTAAGTTTTGTTCTCAATGTCTTCTGGTTTGGAGCTGGGGTGGTGGGGTAGATTACTTTACTATGCATAAGAATGAATGGGCAACTTTTTTTTTTGGTTGCCCAATCAAGTGCAAATTTGGTATATTAGTTCAGTAGGCAGAAATACACATTTTGATGCTAAGTTTGGTTCTCTATGTCCCCTGGTTTGGAGCTGGGGTGGTGGGGTAGATTCCTTAACTTTAGAATGCATTGGCAAAGAGAGATAACTGCTGAAGATGTTCCCATTGTGTTATGAATGCTGGCTATGAGTCCCTTGGGATTAATTAGGTTTCCTCCTGAAGAAAATCCAGAGCATTATCTTTATCTGTCACATTGAGATGAATTACCACCTCTGTCTGCAAATGAAGTTTGTTTTGAAGTTAAGTCAATTTGGAATGCTATGAACACTGTGAAATGTGGATTTAGGTATAAATTTTTATAATTTATTTTTGTTTAATAGTTATGATTTCATTGAATTCTAAAAACAAGAAATAGATTAAAGAAGATTTTTTGAATTACTTTTTTTACTTTATGTTAATTAATTTTTAAGGTAGTTTTATAAAAACCCCATTCTATCATTAATACTGAAAAAAGTTCTTATTGTAACTTTAGAAGAAAATGATGAGAGAGGTACAATTAATCCTTTGGGATCAATTATCTAGCATGCTGCAGAAAATTTAGTAGGCTTTTCTTTATCTTTAAGATTAATGAAAATCTTTGTTTGCAACTGCTGTTTGTTTGAAGTTAAGGTCAAGCCTTCATGATATTTGCATTCATTGAAGGCTGGCATTCTATATAACACAAGCTTCATAATTGTTTAATACATTCAATGTTAAATTGTTCTTTACTGCCTAATGTAAATACAAGGATATTATTTTCAGGTTTTTGAATATTCAGGAATTTTTAAGAATACAGTTTTAAGAATACAGTTGCTGTTGCTTATTCTTCGTACATTTTTTAATCATTCCGTAAGCTGCACCGTTTTAATTCTACCTCATGGCGGGGCCCTTGCTGACTGGTCAGTTTTCTAGTTGTATAAAGTCATTCCTTGGTTCTATTAGGTGTTGGTTGTTGACGAGGAAATGGGGGGGGGGGCAGAGTGATTGATTAGAATGAAGATGAAACGAGTTCATATGTTTAAATTATTTCTAATCAAAACAAAATACTTGTTTTTTGCAAAATAGTTTTAAATCAAGATGTTTGTCAATGCTTACTTACCTTTGTTTTAGTGCAGAAAGGTCAATATTTATGACAGAAGAGTACGAAAATAAAAGAAAACGTCAAATTTTTCGTTTATTTTATCATAAAGGTATAGTTTTTTCTTTGTTAAAATAAAGAGAGGAATCCTTTCTTTCAAAAAATATGAATTACAACATTTTCACACAAAGACTTTTTAAGATATTACCTGTTATGCATGTCGGAATTGTAAAAAATAAGACACGAAAAACGGGATGTTACTTACATTGTGCTCCTTCATAATTTTTCATGCGAGATGAATTACAATGGATTTGCCTTCATTTTAAAGATTCAGGTCATATAAATTAAATACCTGTTGATTTTGAATGTTATTTGACATTTTTGGTACTTTTTAGAGCATATTTGGAGTAGAACAATAATGTCTGAAAATAGTCTATTTTTAGCATTTCACACTGTTTTTGCACGTGCTCTTGTGTAAAAATAAGCATATAAAGGTATTGTTTTTTTAATACCTAAAAATTAAGAGCAAGTGGTTAGGAAGGAAATGTCTCGAAAATTTCACACAAAGACTTTTCTCCCCCTTAAATAAAAAAAAAATCTTCTTACTTTTGGTCAATAAAATTTTTTTCAGGAGGGTGGTATTTCAGTGAGGCGGGAGGCAATTCCAAACAAACTATTGTTTTATTTTGGCCCAGACGACAGGGATAACAACAATATACAGGTACCCTTACTTTCTTAAGAAAGTGTGGGTTTAATCATTGTATTCTGCAATCCATGTTAAATTTTATTATCTGTCTTTAAATTTAACTACACTGACAGACATAGATATACCAGGTATTTTTATCACATGATCTGGCAACAGGTTAACGTCTAGAATGACGACAAGGAAGTTCATTGTTATATATGAGAATTAAAGAGATGGCAGGTGTTGATCAGGTTTTGAAGCAGGCATTGAGAAAGGTAGGGTGTAGATCTATTCGAGTATAAACTAGACAAAATTGCTAACGCACCACCTATGAGAATTAATAATTTACTTTAAATTTAAAAACCTTTTAAGGATGTACTTGATATATAAATAATTATGTTACTTGAATACAAAATAAGGCATATTTATGTTCAACCTTATAAGTAAGTGCAATGTTTACTGAAGTGTGACCAATTCAAAGAAAAATTGTGTCTTTTCCATTTTCAAAGAAAAAAAAATGCATTTCTGTGTTTGTGTGTGTGTGTATGTGTGTATTCTTTACATTTATACAAATTAAACTCAGAAAACAATTAACACCGTATGCAGCGTTTGACGCTAGAAGAGAGTGCTAAAGCAGAAAGTATGGCGTCTGCAGGGTGTTCATTTAGAGAATCTGTTAAAAAAATGAAAACAGTAAAAAGCTTGGCAAAATGGTGCACAGTGCACAGCTTGAAATTAGCGGACAAGAAAGTCATTCAAGGGTCTTTTTCATGATACCAAGATCTTTTTCAATCCCACTGTTTTGGAAATAATGGCATATTTTATACATTACTACCGATCCGGCAAATGTACAAATTACTGATAAGAATTAACAAGTAGTGAGTTAGCAATTTCGTGTAGTCTATTTTCTGATGAAAATTAATGTGTCTGTGAACTACTGATATAGAAGGTGGTGAACAGTGTTGGCGACTGTAAATGTGATCCCATTCCTCTAACTAACCACACCTTTACTAGATCAATCAACTTTATGACTCAGAGCAAACGGGAAATAGTTCCGAATACCTATCTTATTTCCATTTTCCCTATATATTTTGAGGTTTGTTCACCACTCAAAAGTCGAAACCTCACAGAGAATTTTGTCTGGACTAAACAGTTTTGATAAAAGCCTCAAATGTAAAAAATATAAGATGGAGGAAAATGTTGACAGGAATCAGACTGGAATCAGGTACTTCTCACTTACAATTGCAAGAAGTCTGAAACCAAATGCTCTGTAACCACAACAGCTCTGTAACAATTGAGGTACTTGGCAGCTGCTCTACTCATTGTTGTGTCCTGGGCAGTAAATTTTCTCTGTTGTTATCTAGGAAAGAGTTGTTAACCCTATTCTCAACCCCAAAGCCTTAACATTAAATGGATCATATATTTTTTTCTTGTTTGTAACCATTGATCTGTCTGACAAATGTGGACCTATCAGGAGCATACTGTATATGTTTTCTGTGTCATGACTAAGAGACTCAAGTCTTTCGCCACATCAAAGTATTATGATCTCGAAAATGTGTTCTACTGCATGATATAGTAAACTTATGCTCTCCAATGAAGAGCTGTTCAGGTGTTTCAGATGTTTCTACTACTGACAAATATATCCAATCTCTGGACCGAGAAAAATTATATTTTGAAATTGTACTAAAGAAATTATTTAGGTAACATAGATTGCAATGCATAGTTTAATACTGATCTTTTAAACAGTACAAGCATGCAGACATTGCGAAGACAGACGTAACTAATGCAATGTGTCACTTTAAAGATCTCTGCCCATCGTATGACTGTTTTAGTGAGTCAAAGTTCTATTCCATATTTCAAAAGACTTGTTTACAGTTATATTAAAGATTTGAAATTTATTTTTGTGACGGTTTGATACAGCATCATGTATGAAATAAAGTAAACAGTTTTCTACAGATAGTTGAGTTTCATTTCTATGTTTAATTAAGTTGATTATAATTTTGATTTTCATTAATTAATTCACAGCTTTCAATGATGGCACAAGAAAAGACCTGCTCAATTTGGATGGAACGATTCCTGTCCAGTACAAAGGTAAATGTTAACCCTAACTTGTCTGTGAGTATAGTATAACTATTGTTAAGGTTTCGTCAAAGGTCAACATGTCTAAAAATTTATTTTTGCAATAGCTCCAAAATTATGTCTGGTATATAAAGTCAAAACGTTTACAGTATATAAATATATCATTGAGTATTAGACAGAAAGTATTACTTGGTAACAAATATTTTAAAAAAGATTTTTTTTGAAGAAAAATTGTATCAGAAAATGTGCATATTTAAAAAAAAATGCGCCTGCTTTATTCTGTCGATCCTTTTTGTGAAAATCATTATTGCAGAAATAATATATGTTTATCATTGAAGGGCAAGTTGGACGTGAATGGTCTCTGAAAGGCTGTTATTGAAAGCATGAAATGTATAAAGACAAGACCCCTTTAGAACACGCCATTTGCAATGTACTTTCACTTTCAAGTCTTAACATTTGGACAAAATAAACAGGGAAAACAACTTTCCAGTGACGATATAAGTCCAACTTGCCCTTCATTGATAAACATATTTGTTTCTGCAATAATGGTTTTCACTAAGGGCATGGAATTAATTAGGTATATTTTTTGAAAATATATGCATTTTTACGAATAATTTTTCTCAATAACTATTTTTTCCAAGTATTTTTTTATCAAGTGATACTTTTCATCTGTTAATCAATGAAAAATTGATAAACTGTAAAAAGTTTAACTTTATACCTTATATAGTTTTGGGGCTATTGTAAAAATAAATTTTTGAACATGTTGACCTTTGACGAAACCTTAACAATATTTTATGAGGTTTACAGGGGATGACTTTTAAAATGTTGTTTATACATGAAGATTCCATTTTTAGGTAGGGTATACAACATTCCTATCGTGATCTGGATTCTGGACAAATATCCTTATTATCCACCCATAGTGTTTGTGAATCCCAACAGCATGATGCGTATAAAACCTGGACGTAATGTCGACCCAAATGGAAAAGTGGATCTACCATATCTTCATAACTGGAGATATGTGAGTCGTATGAAATTTATCTATGCCAGGACAATAAGAAATACCCAAATAAAAAGTGTAATCTTTTTCTAAATCTAAGAGATAAATTAAGCTTTGTCTTCCTTGTTGCAAAGACAATGGTAGACTTCAAACATATTAAGGCCAGTCGTAAGGTATTCAATGTTTAATGGCCATATTTTTACCTAATGAATTAATGATCGGATATTTTTTAATCATGGTAGCATTTTGAAGATATCATCAAATAAAAATGCGCAACCAAAGGCATTTACAAAATTCTGATTATTGCCCATTAAATACACCTTGAATTTTAAATTGAAGTCTATGGGCAGCACATGATTTTATAAGATATTGTAAAAAGTAATATGAATTTCAAACAAATCTCTTTGTAAAAATATGCATGAACTGCATAAAAATAAATTATTTACCGCATTTTGAGAGATCAAAAATGTTCTTCTTGTCATCAAGGGCAGATAATTCTTCAAAATCATTTAATGTGCAAAATGACTGTCTCCTTACATGGTATCAGTCTTGTGAATTTGGTTTATTTTATTTTTATCGTTATCTACCAATGCGTTTTAGTTTAAAATCATCTTAAAAGCGTTCAAAATCTCTTAAGCTATTACAAGTTTAGATTAAGAATGAATTGCTAATCGGTTAACCGCAAAACGTTCCGACCGATTAACCGGTTAGTCGTATCAAGATATTTTGACAATTTTTTTCATTTCATTTCATTTCTTTTCAAGAAGGTTAAAAAAAACTTTAGAAGTTAAATTCTGTTTATTTTTATCGGGGATCTTTGTTGTATATAAAATTATATTTTATTTCAATTTCCATAGACGAGAAAATTAAAGAAAACCATGAATCTTGCTTCAGAAATCAGTCGGGGATGATTTTTCAACGCAGATGTGAAAGAAGTTAATTCTGCATTGTCACCATAATCAAAACTATTAATTACAGTTTACAACGTTCTTTCTAATAATTTGATTTACCGGATAACGGCAAAATATAGACATACCATAATTAAAAGTGCTTAACGGTGATATTAATAATATCATTAAAAAATCACAGTACTATCCGGGTAATCGCATAATGTTTTAAAAGAGTAATCAACACTTTATGAATTGACTAATTACCCCTGCGATCTCATCCTGGAGAGCTATAATTATCTCCACAAGTTCTTAATAATAAGATGTGTAAAACACTCAATAAACATCTACGCAATGGTTTCCTTTCTAAAAATAAAAAGAAGTAGAATAAGGAATTTTAAGGAAATTGTGTTTAAATTTTCATAAAATTTTATTTTTTTTCGACTAACCGACTACGGATTTTCTAACCGATTAGCATCGTTCCGACCGATTAATCGATTAACCAGTTAAGAATTGCCATCCCTAGCTTAGATATTACAAAATAAGTAGATATATTAAATACATACAACCACAAACAAGTTCGCAGTACAGTTAAGGTGCGCAATGGAAATATCGACTAAATTTTGTATTTAAAAATGTATTCGTAATCGGGATGGTGATTATTTTTAGTACATTATTTATATCGGATAGTTGTAATTGTGATTAATAACTACATATCGAGGACGATCATATTTTATATTTAGACTAGTCACGTGATGCGGCAGTCACGCGATTTTAGCACATTGACTTGAAGAATTGATGTTACATATAAATATCACTAGTGCAAGGGCATAATCAAGTTCAATTTCCAAATTAAGTATAAATATATATTAAACTCGATCCTGTCTAAATTCTGCAATTTCATTCTTTAAATTATACTTGTATGACCAAATGCTATATTTTGTGCTGGTCAGCGGCATGGAATATTGAAATAATTAAATTGTTTTTCAGATTTCATCAGGATCGCAGCACTTTTCAGATACTTTAATAGTTCTTTAGTTAACATGTAAAAGCTTATTGTGATCCATAGAGTGTATGCCCTTGCACTAGATTGATTTATTTAGACCCCCACATTACCCCCCGATGTACTTGCACACAAATATACGGCAGTGTCAATTAAATACGTAATGTACAGAAAAATTAAAATAAAATAGTGAAGAAGACATTAAATTCAAGTTATTGGCCCATAGAATATCTGTAAATGATATTTTATTTAATTAGATAATATATTTTTTGTTGAGAAAATATTACTTGATCTGTCTCTCACTGCAAACAATCTACGTCACGTTGTAAGAAATGACGTCATATTGACAAGTGTATTGCGATCAGTGACTTGTTTATAACTTGTTATGTGGGATTTAACTAACGAAAAAACAACACGCTGTAGTTAGTTTTTATGTAGTTTTATGATTTCTTACTGGTTAAATTAGCAGATAAACTCATTTTGTGTTATTTTAAAGAAATGTTGTATGGCGTATAATGTGTATGATGTCATAGTAAAGTTTTCCCGTACAAATTAGGCTCCGCCTCCTTTTTGTAACCTTAACTGTGCTGCGTTGAATCTTTTTGTGGTTGTACAGGATGGTATAGACTAAGGGAGACCTATGCTTATCCTTGTCTCTTTGGGTCGGTAAGCTTGAGATATCTGCTGAGGTCACCAGAGTTTGAGATTGATAACATTTTTTCCAGCCCCAGTCGGAACTGCTAATACTGGTCCAGATTCTGGTTCTTGTGTTTGGAGAAGAACCCCCAGTGTTTTCCAAAGCTGTTCCTAAAGCACAACCCCAATCCCCTTACCCCGGGGCCGGTCAATTTCAGACGCCTTACCCAATGCAAGGTTAATAAGATAGACAATAATTATAAGAATGAAGAAATTAAATATGGCACTATTTTATATAAGTTCGAAGAATATCCTAATGGTTGTTAAACTAGTATATTAAATCATTACCCGGTAATTGAAGTGCTTAATATGGAGTAATCTTTGCTCATATAATTTTTTTTTCTAAGTTTTGATGTACTTGTTTTTATGTTCTATTCTATCATTATTTAATACAATTCATACACTAAACTTCTGCATGAATTTATTTTTCAAAGTAAAATTTTAGATTATATTACTTAATTAGCTACAGAACTGTACTCGTATTATGGTGTCATTGAAAGTTTCTATAATCATATGATTTTAGTCTCCTTTAAATTTTAATTACAGGGTCAACTGATCATTTAACCCAAACTCCAGTAAAGGAACCTCTTTTCAGTGCCCAAGACATCTTACTCTGTGACTTGTGTCAAACAGATGCATTACAGAGTTATTGTGAACTTTGTAATGTAAACCTCTGTATAAACTGTGTTGGAAAACATCTGTCTGATTCGTCTAAAAGACATAACGTTGTACCATACAGACACAAAACCTCTACACCTCACTACCCAAAATGTTCAAATCACAAGCACAAAAATTGTGAACTTTACTGTGAGAAATGTAAAATTCCCGTCTGTACTTCCTGCCTCTCCTCTCGAAAACACAAAGGACATAATTTATCTGATGCGTTGCAGAAACTCAGCTCAACTCAAAAAAAGTAAACTTGCGAACATACTACAACTGTCACCAAATATGGATAGGTGTGGCATAGAGAAATTGACATCATTGTCAATTACAAACAGGACTCCAATGATATTTCTCAAACCCACAAATCCAGGAATGCTTAATTCAGAAGTTTACCTCCATATGTTAAGGTTCTCTCATAATCAGATCAACAATGAACAGTTCCATGGAGATTGAATACTGTTCGTTATCTCAATATCCTTCTTCCATAAAGTGATCAGACCCAAAGGGTTCATACCTTACCATGTAAAGTTAAGGTATTCAATGTATAACGACCATATTTTGTACCTTATAAATGAATGGTCCGATATTCCTAATCATGGTAACATTTTGAAGATGTTATCAAATAAATACGCTCCATCAAAGGATTTTTACAAAATTTTGATTATTCTTATCTCCAATTAATTGCACCTTGAATTTTACATTGAAGTCTATGGGCAACGCAGGTTTTTATAAGATATTGTAAAAAGTAATTTGAATTTCAAAGAAATCTCTTGGTGAAAATATACATAAACTCTCTTTAATCAAATATTAAATAAAATGAATTATTTACCGCACAAATTTTGAGAAATCAAAAATTTTCTTCTTTTGCTCAAGGACAGATAACTCTTCAAAAACTTTTAATGTGCAAAATGACGGTCTCCTTACAGGTTATCAGTCTTGTGAATTTGGTTCATGTCACTTTAATCGTTATCTAGCAATGCATTTTTAATTAGTTTAAAAGTATTTAAAATCGTTCAAAAGCCCTTCATTATACATCGAATACCTTAAGGAAATCCAATACATGTTAACAATGTGTAAACATAAACTGTTCGTAACTGTGAAAATCTCTTTGTGGCTAAGTGAAAAAGAATTGTGAAGATATTCCACTACTTGTATAAATTAAAGCACTGATGTATGAAAAAGGTTTTAATTCTTGTAAATTAATGCTGTATCATTGTTAACAAGAGTCAAAACTGCAGTCTTGTATGATGAGTCAAAATGAATCTTTATTTTTTAGTCTGGTGTGGTTATAATATGTATAATCGGAATCATTTCATAAAAATAACTGTACTCTTGTATATAAATACAATAAAGATATATTATATCATATCAGAATATCATATATCCTTATTATATATAAGTACGATAGGGATATACCGGTATGCATATTCTGTGGTAATAATTAGTTGTACATCTAAATGAGAAAGAGTGTCAGGTTTTATTGTTATTTGTTTACGCTGTGATACACGTAACTCTTAAAAGTTAGTTGATTTCTTGATCATTCTACCATGACGTAATTTTTTGCCAGTTGATAGGACATGAGCTAATTATAAAGGGGGCTTAGTATGTATGTAAATGGCTCTCTTTGTACGTATTTGATGTCAATGGGCGGGGACTATTGAAATTTAAATCAGTCTATTAGTCAACATTTTGTTTACTATAAAATCTTATAGACATTTATGGAAATACATGTATAAGGAATCTCTGTCTAATCAGTAGAGTTAAACTGGGACATCAATGATACTAGTAGTTGGAAATGTGGGCTTCGCTCGTTATGTTATTAAATTATCCCAGATTTCAAACTATCTTTTATGCCCTGGCATACTTTATTAACTACACACTGTATTGTACTACTCTTTCATGTATATTTTTTTTTACAATTTACTTTTCTACATAATTATATTCAAGTACATATTATATTAATAAACTCTTTGCTCATTTTCTTTTCTTTACAATATAATCATATATTATTTTTCAATTTTGTTTTCAAAGTAACTTTAAGGCTTAAGTGTGTGTGTGTGTTTGACTTTCTGTCATCCTTTGTTCGTCGTCTCTCTGTATAGCTGTCTGTCTGTCCGTCCATCTGTAAACTTTTCACATTTTCATTTTTTTCTTTAGAACTAACTGGAAAAATGTAACCAAAGGTGAAAAAAACATCTTTGACAAAAGGGAATTTAATTTCTTAATTGAGGGTCCAAATCGTCTTATATTGGGGAATACTGTGGTTTCATCAATATATAAATGTTCGCTGAAATAAGAAATTTGTTATTCATTTGTATAGGCAATGCTTTTGTCCATGAAATTATACGTTTCCTCGAAAACGTCTGTTTCAAAAAATCCAAGAAAATTGATGCCATCGAAAATTAATGAAACCACAGTAAACAAGAAAACACAAAGATAGGGTCAGGTCATCAAAAAATCTTCCGAAGAACCACTGGGCCAAAGAAGCTAAAACTTATTTTGAAGCTTCCTGGGGAAACGTAAATTCTACATTTTTAAAATCATGACCCAAAGGGGTGGGTTGGGGCCACAATAAGTATTACAAGTGGAAAATCTGGTGAAGCATGGCTGAAGTTACTCAGATGGGCATTGTAATCTATAGGCCTCTTGCTTCTTGTTATTAAACTTTTTAATTTCGAATGCACACATGTTACTCTTACATTGATAATTTATTTTTAAATAATAACTGTAAATACAGAGAAAAAAATACTTTTTAGATATAAGCAGTATCCACATAGCCTGTGTCCCCTAATGTTAGTAAGGTACGAGGGTTCTTATGGTTAGCAGGGTACTATAGGCGTTTTATACCAAATTTTAGCACTGTTGCTTTTCCTATGACCAGGTTGACACAGAAAAACAGAAAGTTTATATGGGACGAATCGTGTCAAAGTTCTTTTGAAGAAAGGAAGAAACTTTTTGTTTCTGCACCGGTATTATTATACCCCACTTCCAAAGGTCAGTTAATTCTTGACACTGACGCAAGTCTTTCTGGTATTGGAGCACTGCTTTCTCAGATTCAAGATGGTCAAGAGCATGTAATAGCATACGCTAGTAGAACCTTAAATAGTGTCCAACGTCGGTATTGTACGACTCGACAAGAACTACTTTCTGTAGTTATTTTTGTCAAACATTTTCGGCTTTTTCTTTGGGACCGACAATTTTTAGCCAGGACTGACCATGCTTCCTTAGCCTGGCTTAACAATTTTAGGAATCCTGAAGGCATATAGTCGCTAGGTGGATAAATATTCTGGACACAAATGATTTTAAGATTGAACATAGAATGGGGTTTGCAGCATTTAAAGGCTGACATGTACAATCTTTCACGTAAACCTCTGTCAAGACCTGGTACTCGACCAGAATGCCCTGAATGTTTTTCAGAATTAATGTCTGAAAGAAAAGATGCATCCCCAAAGTGACATCCCCTATCGATGAAAATTAAGGTTTTAATGAACCTGTATCGCTATGCCCAGTTCTATCTGAAAATCAAAGTGACATTGATACTCTAACTTCAAACTAGCTAGACACATGGTCTCCAAAAAGTTTGACTGAAATGCAGTTAAGAGATAATGCCATCGCCCCTATTCTAAAAATAAAGATCGAAACTGACGAGAACCCCCCAAGGTTTTCAAGGGTACTCTGACGAAACTCTGAAACAAAACACCTATGGAACAAGTGGGACCTACTATTATTGAAAAACAATGTATTGTATAAAACAAATAATGATGAAATTCAACTAGTTGCGCCCCGTGAAATAAGTGATTTCATTTTTGGCCGACTCCATTCTGCTAGGATAGGTTTTCATTTTAGCATAGAACGCACTGCCGAGGCAGTGTAACGAAAGTTTTTTGACCAAATCTAATTGAAAATGTTACACATGGTGCAAAGAATGCGATAAATGTGCTTAAAGGAAACCTGGTTTAGGGAAATCTCCTCTTAAAATTTCTGAAATAACCAAACCATTAGATCGAATTGGCATTTATATCTTGGGTTTCCTGCCTATTACTCAAAATGGCAACGAGTACATAATGGTTGTCTGTGATTATTTTTCAAAGTGGGCGAAATCATATGCAATACAATATCACACTGCATTAACTGTATAGCAGACAAATAAATGAGAATTCATTTCTAGGTTAGGTGTTCCAAAACAAACCCACACTGACCAAGGTCGAGAGATTGAATCCATATTATTTTCAAATTTATGTTCAAAATTAGAAATAGATTAGACTAGAACAACGCCATACAGACCTCAGTCTGGCGGTCTTGTCGAGAGATTTAACCGTACTCTTCAACAAATGTTATCAGCCTTTGTAAGCGAAAACAAAAGCGACTGGTACGACCATATACCGTATTTAACTATGACTTATAGAGCCACCATTCAGGAAAGTACCAACTGCACCCCCACTCTCCTCATGTTTGGACATAAACTTAGTTGTCCCATTGATATTATTGCTGGAATTCCTCCAGATCAAAACGACTTCTGCCCTTCTGAATACATCGAATGGTTACAAAATTCTATGAGAGATACGTTTGTATTTGCGTATGAGCACTTATGCAAGGTGGCAAATCGACAGAAAAATTATTGTGACGTAGGTTTGAAACCCGGATCTTTAAAGAAAAATTACTGGGTTTGGAGATGGTACCCACCTAAAGCGAAATAAATTAGGCTTAGGATGGACGGGTCCCTATTTAATTGTTAATAAAATTTCATCTCTCCTATATAAAATTCCGGAAAATGAAAACTCTCCCAAAATAACTGTTCATGTGGACCATTTAAAACCTTACGGAGGAAACCATCTCGCAATTGGTTTCCTGAACATGTTTGCTCCACAGAAGCATCTAATGTCAGTACAGAAAATATTCCTCTATTTCATATCAATTCCGACACTGAGGATTCACCTAATGCCTTTTCACCACAAATGCAAACCTCCAGGTTCGGTAGAAAAATAAGGCAATAACATATTTATTCATCATAATTTTATGTTTGCTTTCTTTTTCTTTTAGGATGGACGTTGTAGAGCTGACTTTTAATGAAAGTGAACTGCAATCTCTGGACGCCGACTTTGTTTACGAGAACGGTATGTTTTGCCCTGTTCCAGATTGTTCTTATACCCTACACTTCAACAACTACTCAAAGTCAAAGAAACATTGGAAGGACATTCATACTTCAATTATAACATTACATAGATGCACTGAATGTGCTAGAGTCTTTAAGAACGGTAAAATCCAATTGCGGAAACATCTATACCAATACCATAGACTAGAGAAAACCAAGGCCGAAGAGCTGTTGATGAAATCCTCCTTTGAAAAACTCAGTGCCAAATATATCAACACTCAAGGAGGTCCGATGCCAGAACCCATCATACACCCGCGGAAGCCATCCACGAAAGAATGTAGACGACAAGCACAAGAAGATAAGAGAAAACATCAAAAGTACGAGCTTGATAACACAGATGGATCTGGATGGAGATGGAAGACCTGAAAGACTTTGAGTAAACATTACAGGACTTTACAGGACTTTTGTGAATATATTACTAAAAGACTTTGTGTATGAAAATTCTTGGTACTTTGTAAGATGATGGACAATATGGATATTAAAATTGATATAAATTATATTTTTGTACATCTCTTTATTTATTGTGTGTATTTATGCATTTATAAATAATTTACATATATTTACAATGTATATCAATTTACAATGCATGTGATTTTCTTAATTTTTGTGTTTAATTGAAAATCATATATGTATACAAAGAAAATTATAATTTTTTTTATAATTCATCTTAAGATAGGGGAATGTAATAATGTTAGCTTAATTTAGGGAATCTAAAGTTTGATCAATTTATTTTCTACCGGTATTTTATTGAACACCTTCTAGAGTCTCCTTTCTTTTGTTATATAAATTCTTTTGTTCCAAACCTTATACAAAGCGTTGCTTTCATTCATTCGAGGCCTCTTCTTTGTTGGTCTAAGGACAAAGTTTCCCCTTTCCCTCTTTTGGCCATTTAAGACGTATCTTATTTATAAATTAATTTTCTATTTTCCCGGACTTAAGTATTTATTTTTGATATTTTGTTTTCTATTATTTGCTATGCTATAATAAATTATAAACCTTCGTTATCTCTCTTTTCATTTTGAAACTTATCACAAACAAACTGAGAGTAAACAATGAACCTGGGTTGATGATTTAATATGAACATTGTTCTTATATAGTACAAAAAATTCATGATATGGCACCTGGAAAAACACTGCAGGGTGTATTTTGTCCCGTTTGGACAGTTCTAGTTAATGCAGTGTCTTCAAAATATTCAATCTTGAGAGGAAGTCAGGCTTAATGTCATATGATTTCTTTTTTGTATGTAGTGGAGTTCAGGCCTCGGGATCATGAAACAAACTAAGACTTATGTCAAATTTTTAATCGCCTATAAAGTATTTATTAATTATTGAATTTATTTCTAAATTTTCACATAACATCACCTCAGTAGTAAATCAATTTTGATTCATGTTTTTCTTGTTTCCGGCACGTGGGATTCAAATCGATAGTAAAATATTAAATATTCAAAAGGGATGACGTAAGCCGACCTTGCGGATTTTATAACAATTTAGAAAGATTCCGGCACGTGGGATTCAAATCGATAGTAAAATATTAAATATTCAAAAGGGATGACGTAAGCCGACCTAGTGGATGACATAACAATCAAGAAAGAAAACAAGGAATTAAATTGTAAAATACGAGATTTAAAGAGATGGCACTTAGTTTTGATCGATTTTTAAGTCAAACATTGAGCAAGGTAAGATTTCAAAAGTATAGATCTATCTGCGATTACCTCAGATCGTTTACTGATAAAAGTTCAGGTATCTGTGAACTAATGAAAAAGCAGCTGGTAAGCAGCGTTGGCGACTGTGAATGTGATCCAGTACGATACCTACTTGTAACCATTCTGTAGCTAGATGAAACAAATTTATGACTGAGCAAACGGGAAATAGTACCAAATATCTATCCCTTCATCCTTACATTCTCTCCCCTCCCCCTTATCTTTGAGGTTCGTCCACCCTGAGCGTCAAAACCTTACAGAAATTCCTCTTGACTACTTTCGATTTTGATTAAGGCGTCAAATTTTATAACAGGAGGAAAATGTTGACCAGAATTTGACTGAAAGTTGATACTTTTCACTATCCATGTAGTCTGAATTCGAAGATACTTTGTAGCTACTGCTGTACAAGACATATGTATTACCAGCTGTTGTATCCAGAGCATCGAATTTTCTCTGTTGTTGTTTTCATTCATATAGACATTGTTCTCTGGGAAGGATTTGTTAGCTCCATACTCAACCACAAAACCAATGAATCTCATTTTGTCTGGTCTCTACTGCGAGGGCTGTTCAATAAATAAATAAATAATGTCCTGAACTGTATGACATACTATACAGATATCATATGACATTAAGCTTGGCTTTTTTGCATTATTGAATCTTTAATGAATTAAAAATTTATGTGACCACTTTTCATCACATAGTTTCATTGTGAGAAGCTGGAAAACAAGGGCTTTTCGAGACACTGCACATAAAATGAATGTTAAAGAATCAGTAAACTATAGAGTGAAATTAAACGCTTCATTTAAGCCGCTGTAAAAATCATTAAGAATCCCAAAGAAATATTCACTGAAATATGTAACATTTACGGCAACCAATGTCTGTTTTATAGACAAATGAGCAGGTGGATTTAAAGTCTTAGGATAAAAAAATTATATAATGGGCATCAATAATGGGTACCGTCCTAATGCCAACAAAAATTATAACAAGTCGAGTATTGTTTGCCAAATTTCAACATATTATCACTGATGATGTATGACTGACAATAATACACATAGAAAATTTGATAGACATCATTTCGGGATTAGTTACCACTGTTTTAAGGAACGTTTGGTAGTTAAAAAGCTTATATATAGTTCTCAAAGGTCCCCCTATGTTTTGAAGAATGAGTGAAAACGACAGCGTGTAAAAATATCTAAACAATTATATTTAAAAAAATCAAAAATTGTAGTTATCCAAGGTTATTGGAAATTCAAACAGATAATGAAACTTGAATCTATTGCTTAAAAACCTGGAAACAAAGTTAACAATAAGATCATGAAGATGTACTTGACAAAATTAGCAAAGGTCTAAGAAGAGCAAAGAATTGCAAGAGCACAAAGACAGAATTTTATATGCAATTTTCTTAAATATAAGTGGTCTTGTTGTGTAAATTCGTATTCAGGGAGGCAATTGAATATCTGGAAGAGTCTAGAAAGCAGAATATTTGCAAAAAAAATGCAGAATCAGAAACCCACGACATTAAATTTCTTCATGACAGCGTCCATACCCGCACGCCATGAAGAGTAAGGAGTTTTTGGGATAAACAGAAAATGAATTTTTTACACATTAACAATATTCGCCATATCTTTCGCCTTTTTACTTGTTTCATTTTCCAAACTTGAAAAGCCCACTTTTCAGAACGAAAACACTAGTCCAGGAAATCATAAGATCTGCCATTTTCCAGTATACTAAGGGTCATACTCAAAAAATGACTTTTAAAACAATCAGAAGTTGGATAAAAATGTTATGGACATGTGTTTTAATTAAAAGAGAATTCTAAATTAAATTATTAAGACTAAATCATTGAAAACGTCTTTTGCTTCTTTCTGAGCACCGATGACTTTATTTATTGAACAGTCCTCGTATTTATCTGTATAGCAATTGTGGACCAACCAAGATCATATGTTTCTGCAAGCATAATTCATTGGGTTATAATTTCAAGAGACACACAATTTGTAATAAGCCTTTCACCACAATAATGTAATGATCCAACAAGGTGTTATACATGTTATACTGAGTTGTAGACATATGTGTTCCCTCTGAGATGCTAGATATTTCTACTTTTGAAAGATAAACCCATTCTTCAATACAATTAATACATACAAGCATTTTCTCAAACATCTACGTGATCTTTGGACCAAGAAAAATTTATATTTTAATATTGTTGAAAAGAAATTCTCTTGTTGTACAGATTTTTAATATATTGTTATTTACGGGTCTTCTTTGCAGTACATAACGAAGAGACATGTGACCAATGCCATAAGTCAGTTTAAAGATCTCCGCCCATTATACAATTTTTTTAGTAAGGCATGTTTTTATTCTTTATGTTAAATGCATATTCAGTTTGGTATGGTATTTTAAACATTTGTAATTTTCTAATTGTTGGACATAAATTTAAAGGAGTCATGCTGTTCTCAATAAATTACCTCCTGCTTTTATTACCTTGTTTTATCATGTTGATGACAATGTTGATATCAATAAATTTGCAGATTTCAATGATGGCAAAAGCAAAGACCTGCTCACTTTGGATGGAGCAATACCTGTCCAATTCAAAGGTTAATCCTTACTTATCAAATAATATGAAATTTTTGGGTTCCTGGGCGATCGATGCATGTGAATTTTGTTAGAAATTCTTATCCTGAAATTTTAATTAAATCCTCATAAACACTAAAACACAAATGCAGGGTTGCTCCTCAGCTCCAGGGCTTGGGATTTCATCAAACTATAATGATGTAGTCTTCCAGTATTCTGGTATTCACCCCAACCCTCAGTTAGACGACCAATCAAAGAACCTTCTCTTACGTCCCCTGCTATTTCAATTCTTAGGGACAACCCAGCAAATAAATTGATCACAGTAGAAGTATTTAGACAATATACCAATAACATTACATCCAAACAAACCAGTATAATATGTTAACCACAAACATTTTACCTAGTTAAAAATGATAATTCCAAGATACATGTACTACTGCATAGGTACATACATCTAGGTATTATGTTAACAAAAGCATACCTGTCCATAGAAACCAAAAGGTATGATAATATAAACACTGTGTGATAACTATGTCAGTCAAAAATATACGGTTATTATTTAATGAAACTCATTACATTTATACAGTATGTTAACAGGTAGTAGTTTTTCAATCTGAGCATGTTTTAGAATGGAGACATACTACATGTAACTCTGAACATGCGCAGCTGGCTGGCTCTATAACTGGAACATTATTATGCAAACCGAAATTATTTAGATCTACTCTCAGCAAAATTATGACCCTTTTATGTGGTTTATATGGGATGGCTTGTTTTTGTTTTTAGGTAGTGTGTGCAAGATCCCCTACTAATGTTGTTTAATGTTATTGAGATGATTTTGATTTTTTTAGGTAGTGTATATAACATTCCGATTATAATTTGGATTCTGGATACTCATCCGTTCAATCCACCAATGGTGTTTGTGAAGCCAAGCAACACAATGCAGATAAAACCTGGAAGAAATGTCGACTCTAATGGGAAAGTGGATATACCATATCTACGTGATTGGAGATATGTGAGTTTTATGAAATTCATCTTCTCCAGGCTTGAAAGGACAATCGGAAAACCAAACTAAGAATTTAAAACTTTCTCTGAATCTGAAAAATATCGGTATTTAAAACTGAGGATTACTTGTTTTATGGGTATGTAAAGGCCACAACCAAATATTCCACTTGCTTTTACAATATGACGTCATATTAAGCTATGTGACGTGAACTGATGAGTTGAAGATTTCTTAAAATCTATATATAAAGATTGATATTAAATAGTAGAAATGAATTGAAACATGCAAAAGCTAAGCATAGACAAAATCTTTTAGTTTCTGGTTAGTATAAATAGCTATGTATTTTTCACGGGGGTTAAATAGCAAACTCATGACGTCATAACTGTTGATCAGTAATAGCAGTATGAAAGTGAAACGAAATGGGAATTTATGTAAATAAAAACATAAAGTCGGAGTTTAAAAGAATTTAGCTCAAATATTATGTTTGATTCATGCGGAAATAAAGCAAATGAATAAGGTATGCTGATATATTTCTAAAATTACTTCGCATAATGAAAGCAGACAGTGTTGTTACTTTCCGATCAGCCTTTTCTCTGTCGTTCAAAACAAAAAAGATGCAAAAGTTCAACACTTTGACGCATACTTTGATATATAATTATTGTATTAATCAAATGTCTTTATTCTATAGTTTTTGAAAAGTGCTGCTAGAATCGTATGGATAACGGGAATTGGTGAAATTCTTTTCAGTCATATGTACAAAATGTAAAAATTTTGGTAAGGTTTCATCCCAAAGTATTGAATAATTATTTCTTTGATAGGGGAGTAGGATAGTAGGATTTTAGCAGCCTTTTGGTAAACAGATTTTCTTACATGTCAAAACTATTATTACAAAACTATTATTACAAGTAGAAATTAATTATCAGCGGCACAGTGTTGAATTTTTCACTTTTTCCAATCGGAACATCTCTCGGCCTTTTCCGTCAAGTCGACTTGACGGAAAAGGCCGAGTGATGTTCCGATTGCACTTTTTCATTACAGAAATTATTTTTATATTTATAGACGTCACATGAGGACGTCATGGCGGGGTACCTACTGTAGTTTATCTCCGATTGAAGTCTGTAATAATAGGAAAAATTTTATCCATTGCCTTTTCCGATGTATCAGTGTTACATATTTCAAAAAAAAGTGTAAATTCGCGGAATTCTGATTTGTATGCTGCCTTAACATACTAATACCTGCTTGGTAAAAAAGAAATCGAACGTCGTGATTTGCAGACCTGTTTTTGTATTGATATGAAGCAGAATTTGTCAAAATCTTATACGAGTACATGAAAAGGAGAAAGTACTTGCTGTGGCCTTTAACTTGACATTTAGATATATCAACGACGTATTGTTAATTTACAATGGTTATTTCAATTCTTATGTCGATACAATATATCCCAGTGAGCTTGAAATAAAATATACCACAGAGTCTGGCACATCTGCTTCATATTTAGATGTTTTACTTGTTAATGTTAACCTAATAATCAAACATTGTGATAACCGTGGCTCATTTGACTTTTATTTTTCAATCGTTTAACTATCCTTACTTATACAAAAATATACCTTCAATACCTGCATATACAGTTTATATCTCTTAGTTGATTCAATACGCAGGAGCACGCTCTATGTATGAACAGTCTCTCAACGAGGTAAATTATTGCCAAACAAGTTGCTGATTCAAGAATATCAGCAGTCTCGTTTAGAAGCCATCATGTCGCAAGTTCTATATCTCCATATAACTCATGTTACCATAATAACACCACTATTAAGTTATGTCAAATTTAGATATACAAAATAAGAGGATATGTATATTAAGTATAATTTCGTGTCTTGATAGAAATGATGTTAGATTTTTTATAGCTAGTGTTGAGAGACCTATGCTTAAAGCCGCTTAATCCAAAAGAGGCACATATTATCGTATACAAGAAAAGTACGTCACTACATAGAAAATATATGAAAATAAATTATAAAATTGATTTTATTACAACAATCCTTACAAGGAAAACATAAATCAGAAACCTTATTGAAAAACAGAAGTTCCTGACGGGAAGTTGAGATCTCGCTATTCACGATGTCGTGGAGTCAACTTTGAAAAAAAAATTATCTGTAATATCTAATTATGAAGAACAAATCGAAGGTTTTTACAGCGATTGGATAAATATAGCTCTCTGCTTTATCTGCTCGAATTTTCTCAAGCAGAGAGCTACAGTTCTGCAGCTAAAGTAAAACCTAAATCATAATATTTCTTTTAAAAATTAAGAAATAATTGAATGAAAGATGTGGAGATAACGAACAGTATTCAATCTCAAAGTCCATTAAACAATATACAAAATAGGAGCAGAGCAAACACGGACCTCCGAAACATCAGAGGTGGAATTAGGTGCCATGGAGGAGTGAGCATCCCCTGCCTACCGGTCACACCCGACGTGTGCTCGTGATCAGGAAATAAGGGGAAAAAATCCGTCGTTTATTCAGTATATAAATAATGGACTAACAGTTGGTATGAAAAACGTCAGTCAGCATTTGACTCAATGATAAATTGTATTTGCTGACAAGGTCATTGTATCGTCCATAGAACTTACGAAATGATGACTTTAAACGAGACTGCCGATACTCTTGTTTCATCAACTTGCTTGTCAATACTTTACCTCGTTTAAGAAATTGTTGATACATAGAGCATGCTCTTGCGTATCGAATCAACTGAGATATATATACTCCGTATGCAGGTGATGAAGGTATATTGCTGCATAAGTAAGGGAAGTTGACGATAGAAAAGTTAAAGTCATCACGTTTATCATATAGCTTGGTTGTTAGATTACCATTAGTGTCTTTTTCAAGTAAGATATCCAAATATGAAGAAGAAGTATCGGACCCTGTGGAATCTTTTATCTCAAGCTCACCAGGATATATTGTATCGACGTAGGAATGGAAATTATCATTATTAATTGGCAATACGTCGTCCATATATCTAAATGTCGAGTTGAAGGCCACAACAAGTGTTTTCATCTATTCATGCATAATATTTTGCATAAACTCTGCTTCATATGAATATAAAAATAAGCGGATTTGTACCCATGGGAATTTTAGTAGATTGTTGGAATACCTGGCCTCCAAAAACCACATAGATATTGTCAGAAACTCAAGCATCTTCTTGATATCAACTTCAGAATACTTATGTGTGCAATCAGAATCTGTTTAAACAAAATAATTTTGAGAAGAAAAGAACGAATATATATTAGTGGCTTTAAAGCAGCTGGGTTGTCGTGGCTATTTTAAGACTATTTCGTTTTCCTTTAGCAGAAGAGCTCAACATAAAGATATACAGAAATGATCAAATTTTAAAACTAAAATGTATGAAATTTTTCTTTGCCAAATGATAGTTGACAGCTTACAATACCATATCTAAAAAAAAGTTATATCTTCTGGTTTATTTGTTGAACCCGAGCCTCTTTAACCTTGTTTGTTTGGCTTGGTAAGGATGTGATGTCTGTTAGAGCTTACTATGGATAACCATAAATCAAAAATGATTAATTTGCTTTTCCAGCCTCAGTCGGACCTGCTAGGACTGATCCAGATTCTGGTTATTGTGTTTGGAGAAGAACCCCCAGTGTTCTACCGAGCAGCTCCTGCAGCCCAGTCTCGACCCCCCTACCCCGTGGCTGGTACATCTCCTTATCAATTTCTGACGCCCCACCCAATGCAAGGTCTGTGAAATTGACAAGTGTTATACATGTAAGAATGAAGCAAATAAATACGACACTATAAAATAATAAGTTCTAAGAATATCTTGATGGCTTTTAGCAACTGAATGATTAATATGGATTAATCTTTGCTCATATTATTAATTTTATTTTCTAAGTTGTTTGTGTGTTGTTCAATCATTATTTTATACAGTTCATAAACCGAAAATTTGTAAATAATTTTATTTTCCAGTTTCATTTTCTGCAAAACTGTAACATTATGGTGTAGGGAATAACTATCTTC